GTTTCACTTTCTTTTTGATACACTCGGCGCCACTTTTTTTTTTTTTTCTTACGCGTTTATTTTTGCATTGGTCGAAGTGGGCCGTGGGCCGGGCGTCATCGGAAAGACCGCAGTCAGTCGCGGGCCGGATGTGGCCCACGGGTCGGGGTTTGGAGACCCCTGTTCTAGACAATTGTAGTGCATACATATATACACAGACAACAGGCAATGTCGCGCCGAACAACTACACCGTGCTAACGACCTTGCTTTACGAGCTTTTGCGTACTTTCAGATTTCACATAACATCTCTTACTAGAGGTACGGTAAGCTAGAGAGGAGTAGTGAGTCCCCATGCTGGGCGGAGAGGTTACTTTTTCTGTGGATGCTAATAGAGGGCGCCGCCTCCGCTCCGTTGACTCATGCTCTGTGCGATGACCGCCGTTTAAATTAGATTTCTACAAAAAGAATATTTCCGAAATCATATGTTCAAAGAGTAAAATAAAACTACCTATTATTCCCGTAGTTTACTGCTGCTTGTCGTTCTCTAATTAGGCAAGGAGCGCGGTAGAACCTTCCGCCGTTACAAGCGCACTCACGCAGTTGATCCAAAGCATCCAAAGCAGCGCGTTTAGGCCGATCCGCTATACTTCGGTGCTTTGGTGAGCGCATGGCTCAAAGTCTGGGGGGTCTTAGGGGGTCTCGGACCCTCCACTGATTTTAAAGGATGGTCTGAGACCCTCCTCCACAGCCCCAGCATTAGTGAAATCAAAATAATATCTTGCAATAAAATAGCTCGTTTTCAGGGATGTAACATTTGAGGATTAGCAATTGGAGGGTTGCAGGTTCTGCGTGAATAATGTCAGCAGTAGGGTTTATTTTATGTGCATCTAATACATCTCGTGTGAACACCCCCCCCCCCCCCCCCCTCCCCCTTGAGCGAGTGGCTCTCAACACACGAATTCCGCTAAGCGCGTGCTGGCGGGAGCGTTCACCAGCTTTGTATTGCACGGTCAAAACTGGTGCTCATGACAGATGATATGTAGCTGATGGCACGTGAACAGTGCTGCAACATCGCTTCGCTGTATGTGAAAACCTGCCTTGAAGCTTAGACTAGAAGCTCCGCCCTCAGCGCGAGCTTCCTGCCCTTGCTAACACAACAGGGAAGGCGCAGGCACTCACAACCAAAGCACTGCGGAAGCCAGCGAGCTTGCACTGTTTCGCTGAATCAGACTTTCTATTAAAATTTACTGCGGTTCACCTTAAAAACAGTTCAAGGGTTTTAGCAACCAGATACCAGCCCGAACTTCGAAAAGGACCAAATTAAGTTCCAGAATGTTCCTCACTCTGTTAATTAAGGACATTTCCAAAAAAAAGGGCTCCTGGACGGTTCCATTTTCAGTGTTCGTGCCTATGGCGCGTGATTTGCTCGCTTTCCGAAGCGACCAACATGCGCGCGTACTGGGATGAGAAGGTCAGACGTTGGGCTGAGCACTTGTAGATATTGAAATAATGTATGCCTTTTGCCAACCTACCCATATCGAGCAGAATGCATGGTAATGTGAGTAGACGCACGCGTTCTCCTTATCTGCATAAGAGATTTAAAGTACGCAAATAACCAAAATAAGGCGTTGAAAAACGCGTGTGCAAAGCGTTTCCTTTTTTTTGCCCTAAAAAGTCATTTTGCAAACGGAAGCACGCGCACGCTTCTTGGCACTTGGATAATTTAGGAAATGGTCTATGATATGTCACTGTCTATACAATAATAGAGTTCCTTTATGCCTAAATACATGGTGCGAGCGTTTTGACGAAGGGGAGAAAGACCAGTCCCAATAGCTTCATGGGAATCAAAGAGCACGATTCCTTTCCACAGAAACATAATTAACATATATAAAAACTGCAAGAACCTTCTGCTATGAGCGATTTTAATCATTTACCACTAGGATAGAAAGCACTGAGTGTGGCGATGGACTTTTGTTTTACAAAATCTTCGCGGTGAAAGAAGACCGGTCTGTATCCCTTTCCAAGTGGAAGTTATTTCGTCGCCCAAAATCGTACACGCTTCCCGTTTTGCTACCAAAATTTCTTCCTTTTTTTTTTTTTTGCAAGACATTTTTAAACAGCATTTTTTTTTATTAAATTTTTCTACTTTTTGGGACCGCTATAACAATAACCCAGTCTGGCTAGTCGGTATGGAGCACGGTCAATGACTTGCCTTTCCGTTCTCCTTTCAACGATGACACCGATGTGATATATCCCTCCTGGAGAGACGAATCCCTCAGATCACTCCTCTGTCTAAATAATAACGAAGAAAAGGGCCCGAGTTTCTGGCAGATCAAAACAGACACGTTTGCGTTGCGGAAAATGCCTTGCCAAACATATTGAACCGTGTATTTATGTGAACGTCCCGCGTTACGGGAGACACTCGTTGGTATTAACAGGTAGAGGAGTTTATTTTAAGTTTATCTATTTTTCTTCATTGCCCTAACTTCTGGATTGATGTTAAGCGGATTGTAGTAAGAAGAAAATTACGCGGGTTCTGTCAAAAGTAGGACTATACGTTAGCTATGTTATTATTGGGGGATGTTTCAGCTTGTTGGGTCTTTGCGTGCCTATTTTCTGTCTCAGTGGTGTGGTGAAGAACCTTGAAAGGGATTAGCCAGCCGGACTAGTGGCCGTAAACACACTAAGTTAGGCACGTGTTTTTCTCCCCCTATAACTTGCTTGAATTGTATCAACTCGCGTTTTCTGGTCAATAAACCCCTAGCTGAATATGTGATTCCTTGCCTTGTCCATTTTTGTTATACTTCCTCATCTCAGGCTTCATAATTGTGTATGTGCAAAATTTTCGCTCCGTCAAAAAGCAGATGTTTCTTAAATTAAATGAAAGGCCGCGAACTTGGAGCGACCGCAACACGCTGGCAGTTCACGGCCGGTGAGATTGTTCAGGGAAAGTCGACTACAGCGCCACCGCTATCCTCTGCTTTTTTTTCACGTTTTTGGGTCCCCTCGCCAAGACCGGTTTCGCGGCCGTGTGAACCAACTAAATTATGACATCATAAAATAATTGTGAACCTGAAAACTCACCAACCAGGCATACATCAAAGTGCATATAAACTTTGGTATATTCACACTGGGCATCACACCCGATGATGACAATATGCAATAGTTATGACACAGGACTGTAATAAAGACATACAAGAGATTGCAAAGGAATATTAACAGTTATACAGACGTGAAACAGGAGAGTGTATACGAATAGTGATGCTGATGGTGACAATGCACAATAAATAATATGGCGAGAGAACCCTTGTTTCGATGCAAGTTTCTCTCTTTCTTTTTAATATCCTCGGCGCCGCTTTTCTTGTTCTTCTTTTTTTTTTTTCCCCGCGTGTCTCTTTTTGCTTTGGTACACTCTAAAAAAAGTCCGTGCATCCGCTTTCCCGCACAACACTTGGAGAGCCAATCACGGCAACTTACGAAGGCAGCTCGGCGAATGACGATGGCGAAACATATGTTTATACCAAAAAACGCAGTCTGAGTTGTGACATTAAGCAATGCAAGCGTGACGTTTTGCATTGCTTAATGTCACAACTCAGACTGCGCTTTTTGGTCTAAACATACGTTTCGGCATCGTCATTCGCCGGGCTGCCTTCGTAAGTTGCCGTGATTTGCTCTCCGAGTGTTGTGCGGGAAAGCGGACGCACGGGCTTTTTTTAGAGTGTAGAAGTGGGCCGGTGGGCCGGGCGTCATCGGAAAGACCGCAGTCAGCCGCTGGCCGGATGTGGCCGACGGGTCGAGGTTTGGAGACCCCAGGTCTAGACAATTGTAGTGCACACATACACAGACAACAGGCAATGTCGCGCCGAACAACTACACCGTGCTAACGACCTAAAGGCCCGTTCACACTCTTGCAACCGAGTACGACCGAAAGAGACAAGATCGGGTTTTAAGCCTCTTGCGCTGCAGCGGAGCTGGTCATAAGACGTCGCAAGATGCTTAAACACCGGCCTGCACGGCATGTTGATCCCGCCCGTCACGTGACTGAATTCGGCGAATAGCAGCGCCGCGCGTAGAGGCACGCGGCGCGCTCAAAAGCAGTGGAACGTACGCCGGCGCCGGGGCGCGTGCAAGGTGTACTTTCCTGCACGGCACTTGATCCGGCTCCTCACGTGATCTGCGTGGAAAACAGACGCGCAACCGCGCGCAACTCTGTGGGGAGCTGTCTCTTATGAGACCCCTGCTGCCACCTCTCGCTGGCAACGTAAAACTTCCTTCTGGCGCCCAATCGATCAAATTTTCTGTTTTTATTTTTTTCTTCTTTTTTTCCAGCACATTGCACAGGCCACTGACGCAGGTTCACAATATGGAAGATTAAAATTATATTTTATTGTTATTTGTGACTAGGAGCAGGCACACAGGCATAGCTTTCACGACTCTTCCGTCGTGATTCGTTCTTCGGCGTGAGCGACAGAGGTTGTTGGGACTCGCCGTGCCCAGTGGATTCCTTACAATCAGTCAATCCAGTCAATCTATCAATTGTGCCAGCGCACTAAAATATCAAAAATAAAAGTAAGTGCCAGAAGTGCACCCTGATGGTACGCTGTCCCGCGCCTTCTTCTGACGAGCGCTCGCGCTAGAATAGCACTTTCTAAAACATGATTCGCGGGCCAGCGCGCTCTATGCTTTGAATGTTTTCCATGCTCTGTCAACTTTATTTTTACACTTTAAATGTTTTCCAAACAATTCCACTAATGGTGTAAGAACCAACGTTGGTCTGAACCATGGTCAGAACCTAATAACGTTGGTCAGAAGCGTCAGAACCAAAACCAAAACTGACTTTACAAGAAAAAAAAATCGGACTCAACATTACTAAAATATATACTATTCAAATATATAAAAGAAATTTAAATAAACTGTGTAATCATTTAATTTAAATAAAAACATACTTAAAATTGTTTATAAAAGAGTAGTCATGTTTTACTGCTGATGGTTAAACAACAAGTAGCGTCATTTGTTTCACTAGCGTTTATTGTAAGACATGGGCAGGACTGGTACTTTTCAATGCCCCTCGATACGAGAGTCGGTGTTTCGGTTCCCGTGTATTTTGATATCATGCATCTTCCTCAGTGCGGTGTGAACCTTGTAGATGGGGCATTTTTACTTCACTGCTACTCGGAACTGTTGGACTAACACGGCGTCCCACTTGAAAGTCTCTGTTCCATAAGCTGAGTTCGCACAGCACAACGTCGATACATCCATTCAGGGACTTGTACGCTGATAAGCCAGATCGCCACATCGAAGCGGGCACCTCTGGCTGTATGAATATTGTACCGAAGGGCAGCCTATTATGCCTTAAAGATGGTAAGGAAGTCGTTCGACTTCGCTTCTCCTAGACGCCCCTTATGACGACTAGTTTTCGTAGTGGCCTATGTTGGGTATTTTCGCTCGGGCGTTTTCATGCCTTGGTAGCGCTCGACAGAGATAGAGTTGAGGTCGATCTTGCATTGGCTCGTCGTGTGTATTGTAGAGTTCACGTTGGTTTACTGTAACCTGTGTATCCGGCGTGAGAAATTTGATTTAATTCACCGAAATGTTCGAACGTGAGCTTCGAGAACCAAGAAGGTTGTGCGCTAAGTGCCCTTATGGAGAACGACGGCGGGTACTTCGCAAAGGTTGCAGTTTCAGTGCGCTTAATTTCAGAAGCAGTCAACAGCACACAGATCAAGAAAGGAAGAAAAACAAAACAAAAAAGGGGGCGAAATGTGCTAGACGCTTCTGCTTTACAGCTGCAAATTTCACGACCTTCTCTTGTTCCTTTTTCTCCGAACAAGCTCGTTTATTATGGACCGGGCTAAAGTAGCCGCGTGTCTTGGCTCTTCGATAAGATGGATAGCGGAATTGAAAAGGTGTGTTGTAAAATGCGCTCACAAAATACGAAAAGAGCGAGGCGCAAGTGGCGATGCTTTTCGGCGACCGCGGGGAGAGCTTTTTCTCACTTTCGCAACGCTTTGGTCGCAGATTTTGATTGGTTTCGAGTACCCTGCTCGGAATAGCACAGTCCAGATCCAGAGCAAGTACCCCAGATGGCCGCCGGAGCAGACTTCGAGACGTCGGACCTGGACTCCGTCATCAACGTCATCGGACTGACTCCCAGCGACCCCCTTGACACCTTTGTCGGTGAGATGCACAACTGGCCCTTTGTTGCACCTGGTCTCAAGGGGAAATGTGCCATGCTCCTGCAGGTGTAGATGCAGCGTAATTAAGGTGCCTGCTACGCGTCTCCGTATGGCATGTTCAGTGTCCTATTCCACCCACGCTTCGAAAGTGGTCACAAAGTGGCAACAGATGGCGTCCCAAAAGCCGGGGTGTGGGGAAACAAAATGGCTAGGTGGCGTAAGCTACCGCCCGATCCAAAGGGCTCAGCCAGATTCATCCATCAATCATCTATCCATCCATCCATGTCACGCTGTTGGATGTCGTGATCCTTGTGGTAGATTGTAGCAGTTCCAGCAGAAAGCATGGGCAGACGTGAGTGTTGCTGTTGCCACAGCGTCTCCACTCCTGGCTGCCGAGGCTTCTGTGGACTGTCAAGTTGGAGAGCTACCTGCAGCAGAACAGGCGTCTGCCACATCCACCACCACTGCTGCAACACTGTCAGGGTTGCTACTGGCAACAGCGTGACTCATCATGACATCATCAGGCAGAAATCGAGGGACCACTTTTTAGGACGCCGTAAACACACCAGTCGGAGACGCGTTCCAGACGCCATGTCGCGAGGGAGGCACAAGACATTCACCTTGACGAATTACGTTGTTAATAGGGGTATAGACAGTCTAATGGGGCTGGGCGAGGAATTCTTTTTGGTGGGGTATGGGGGTCGGGATGTTTATGACGTCCATGGCTTTGACAGGGGAAAGGGATGAGACGGCTGCATCAAATACTTTACTAGAATACATTCTACTCCACTCATTTGAATTTGACAGTGCGTCTACAGCACTAAATCGGGGGGACAGCCTGTTTCCGAGAGACTGCACATGCATTTCTCTCTCTACGCTCTTGCGCTGTGCCAAGGGAGAGGGCTGCCGCCAATGCACCGAGATAGTGGATTCACCAAAACAGCAGAGGCGACTGTCTCCGCTGTCTCGAAGGCTGACCACGACGATAAATGGCGGGATCGACCCTGCCCAATTCAAAGGGGAAAAACTCCGAGGTTGCACGTGTCCAGCCGTTCTACTACGCAAAGGCTGTCGGTATTAATCCCTTAACTGGGGAGCGCGCCAATTTTGACTGCAGCTTGGGAGGCACGTCTATAGACTCGTTGCACTTTGTTTGCTGTTGGGAAGTGCGTCTTTAAACGCTCGCTCGTTTTAGCGTGTGGAAAGGATGCGCCATCTATCTTTGTGTATCGGAAACATTTTAAGTTTTAAAAGCGATGCATACAGTATATGGCAGCACAAAAAAAAAAAAAAGGTTGAAGACTTGTGAATAACACCTTTGACTGTTTGTTTGGAAAATGTTATCCAGCAAACGCCAGTGCATCTTTGACCAACGATGAAATCGCTGAGCTGCTGGAAAATATTCACAAGGACTCCAACTGCAATGTTGATTTCTCGAGTTCAAGTAAATGCTCCCCGGGATCCGACACGAAAATTGAAGATGACACAGCGAAACAATTGTTTATGGCAACACCATCAACTCGGGGTCTGCTGCAACCTAGCAAGACGCCGCCACGGTGAAAGATCCATTTCAGATTTAAGAAGTGCCGGCATGCACATTCCACTTGATATAACAAAAATTGTTTTAGGTTTTCAGTTTATTGCTATACTTTCAAGAGCTAAAAACACCTAAAAAAAACATTTTACAAATATTTTTGGTCAATAAGTCCCCAGTTAAGGGGCTAAGGCCATTGGAATTTCACGGCATAAGATTTATTCCCTAGTAAAGTATTTGACTGCATGATGCCACTGCTGGGCACCGCCCCCTTTCCAAATACCCTCAGATGCCCTTTTGAAGTGCCCTGCTCCCATTACTAGTTCTTCACCATAGATAAATGTAGGCTAGACTAAGATGTGAAGGGTTGCCGTCAATACCTTGCCTACTGCACACTCGAGCATAGAAGATATATTCTTCAACTCTCTTATTACGGAGATGAAGATAAAGTTGTTACATTGCAGCTAGACACATTGCAACTACTTAGCATTACCACATTTAGTGCATCTAACATGTTTCTAATTCTGATGGATAGTTTGATACCGACTGGGTGAGCTAAGCATGGAAGTCATCACATTCAGATGTGAGCAGTGGGGTTTCCTATGAGTCTTGTAAAAATGTATCTGAACTTATATTGGGCCTGCGGAATTCAGTGTGGAAACTGCTCGTAAGGGATGAGTGGTTGTTTTCTTTAGTCTCACTTTTTCATTTTTGTGTTTATATACAACTCTTTAGAGAGTCTCATAAACCCATCCTCTTTCTTCTGGCACAGGCTGCTGCTAAAAAGGTAGGGTAGTTGAAATTTAAACTCTAGTTCATGCGACTCAATTTAGTCTAATTAATGCAAGTATAGTTGCTTAATTTGAGAGATTAAAAACCACTATGGACAGTTATGGACAACCACTCTCTTTCATTTGCTTTCATCAAGAAAGGTTGTCTGTAGTTGTCCTTTTTGCTTTTTGCTCTTTCAAATTTAAGAAATAGTTTTTGAGACCAATATTTTTTTTTTTTTGCCTTTGCAATGGCAAAAAGGCAATGGCAATTGCAATGGCAATGGCGAGTTTATCGAGAGTCGGCTTTCTGTGCCTCTTCTTTGGTTGTTGATAATGTTGGTTGTTGAAAACTGAAAATTGGATTTCTAAAATTATTTCTATAGATACAATATAGGTTTGTGTAATATACGTCATGTAATAAAAGTAAATAAAAAGCCGAATAGACTCACTTAAGGTTAACAAATGCAAAACAGGTGCACCAGCATAAAGCCAACACGATGCAGACTAGGGAACTCCAAGAAAATGAAACTGACTTGTTTAAAAGAATGGATGCTGTTGCCAACCATACTTTTGAGCATACGTATCTAACATTGAGCTCTGTGCCTATGTGAGCTGTTATAACTCAAACAACTTACTTGACACTGACAATTGTAGATCAGTTTCCTATTGCCTCTTTCTGTTGGCTAGTGGCCTCTTCTCACATAGAACATGAGTTTAGCAAGGGAAGCCTCATGCCATTTTTATCTAAATTGCCGGGTTTCTCATGCACATGATACCCAAATGGTTGCTTTACTGTACAGGGTGATTCAAGGAGACGCCAGGCTCTTTAAATCGACCGCGAAATTCGGTTTCTTAACCTATTGCGCTACGACTTTGTGCAGCGTTGCCCACAGATGGTGCATTTTGTTTGTGAAATTTGCAAAGAGCGGACTTACCTGAGGAAAAAGTAAAGAAAGAAAAAGGCTTAGCACCTATGGAAACGCAGTGAAGCCACCGGTCTTCAAACAACACGGCGTTGTTTCGCACGGGAGAAAAAAGATGGCGCAAGCGGTCGCGACGCCAACTGCCGCCGACGAACGAGCATACGACGCCGAGAGCCGGCGTCTTTAGCAGACAAGGAACTGCAGTTCCTTGTTGTTACCGCGCCTGTTTTTGTTTCTGCGACTGTCGCCGCCTGCGGAATGCGCGCCGCTTTTGAGTCTAAAATATTGTCTGCTAAAGACGCCGGCTCTCCGCGCTGTATGCTCATTCGTTGGTGGCATTCGTTGCGCCATCTCTTGTCTCCCGTGCGAAACGGCGCCATGTTGTTTGAAGACCGGTGGCGTCGCTGCGTTTCCATAGGAGCCAAGCCTTTTTTTTTCTTTACTTTTTCCTCAGGTAAGTTCGCTCTTTGCAAATTTTACAAAAAAAATGCACCATCTGTGGGCAACGCTGCACAAAGTCGCTGCACAAAGTCTCTGCACAATAGGTTAAGAAACCGAATTTTGCGGTCGATTTAAAGAGCCTGGCCTCTCCTTGAATCACCCTGTAGTTAACTTACTTTTCCATGAAGGAGAGGTAGAAAAAAACTAGCTCTATCACTGCAGCTGTTGGTGTCTTGTAACGAGTGGGACATTGGAAATTTGTGCTGAATATTGTGTGACTTTCTGCTTGTCTTCTTTGGCCCTTTGTAGAAATCTGGTACCAGGTGTTTCTGTGGGCACTGTTCTCATCGCTCTTCGTGCACATCATTGCGGCAGTGGTTGCCTTCAGCATGTTAAGGAAGCAGAAGATTGGCCGCTTCACCCCGCTCCTTATTCTTGTCATGGGGTTGGTCGCGCCACTTACGGGTGGTGCTCTTTCAAGTAAGAGCCTCTGCCTCACCACTTTTCTCACATGTCCATATTTTTTTTTTCAAGCTAAATGCTAAAAAGTGTTTGAAAAAAGAAAGGTTAGAATCCAGGCATTAGTCCTGTTGCTAAGCATGTGACTGCTTCTCTTGACTCATTGGCTTAAACAAGTATTGGAGGAAGCAAAACTAAATGGTACAATACAGGGTGTTTCACCATTCCCTTAGAGTGATAAAAAAAAAAAGGCCCTTAAAATAAAGAAGCGATTCCTTTGGGATAACATTATCGACTGCGACGGACATCAGGTTACGGCTGTGAAGTGATAGATTACCTTAAATTTACTAGATAACTTTTTAAATAGTATACGTTAGCTTTTACATTTCCATTAGAAAATTGTTGTTCATTGCCAAAATAAACCATAAATGTTGTTAGAATTCAGACAACTAAATAATGCATCATGCTAACCTCTGGCAGATTTAAGCCTTAGGAGCCTGAGATGTCAAAACCAACATGCAAAAGAGTGGCTGAACTCTCACCTGGAAGTGATGTCAGTCTCTGCAGCTGGTCCAGGTAGCAAATCATTTCAAACTGATCTGATGGCATTGCATTATCTAAGCATCACATGGTCATAGAAAGAGCACGCAGCTTTTCTATGACCATGTGCTTTTCTCTCTTACTTTTGGTATGGTGGTCTTTAGGCAGCCTAGCTTCACCATTGAATAGTGTGGAGAGAAATGTTTTTTTTTTTACTTCAAGAACTGTGATATCATATTTGGACAATTGGCAGAAAATCTCTAATTGGAATGGAGAATATTTTGGAAGTTAACTTGTGGATTTAAAATAATTAGACTGCTAATTATTACTTCTAATTCATGCGCTGATGTCCGCCGTGGTCGACAACATTATCCCGACAGAATCATTTCTTTATTCGAACTGTCCTTTTTTCTACATTATTTTCAGCCATCATTTAAACAGCCTGTATATTCTATAAAAGTAAATGTTGATTCCTGGTAGGATGTTTCCTCCTATTGCTCATTATACTAGTTTGATTGCAGGTGATTCCATTGTGACACAACACTGTAGATAAAAAGTAAACGTCATGTTCAAAGGTACAGGAGCTGACTGTAGTGTGCATGCTGGATGTTTTTTTCTAAGTGCAGAAAATAATTAAAAGGAAGGACATTGAAAATAAAGAAATGATTCCTTTGCGATAACATTATTCACCGCAATGGACGTCGGGTAGAGAGTGTGAAATGATAATTAGCAGATGAATTACCTGAAATCCACTAATTACCTTTTGAAATATTAGCTTCAGCTGACACATTCCAATTATAAATGTGTTGTTCGTTGTCAAAATATGCCATACCAATTCTTAAAAATCAGACAGCTAAATTCTACTCTGCATTATTCTCTGGCAAAGTTAGGCTGTCTTAAGTTTGTTTCAATTTAAGTCCAGACGCAACAGACTTTATGAGCTAGCTAATGGGACCAATCAAGCAGTGCAAAAGCGCAGGTCACTGGGCCTGTCCTGTTCATGGTTGGTGCAGTGATCATAGAACACTGTTCTTACACAAGCATAACAAACACCATGATGATGCGTTTTTGACGCTGTCTGATTGGCCCCATCAGCTCATAGCGTCGGCTGCAATTGGACTTCAGCTGAAACGAAGTGTAGTGTCCGCCAAGAGAGCGGAGTGCCCGAGGAGAGAGCAGAGTAGGGTTCGCCTTTCCTGTGGCCACATGACCCTCATTGGCTTGCAGTGACTCGCTACCTGCATCTGCTGGGAAGGCCGACGTCGCTTCCGGGTGGTACTTCCACCATTATTTTTGTAGTTTCAGTATCTCGTCTGCTCACGGCTTAAAAATTCGCCAGGGAATAGTGTGGAGCAGAATTTCGCTGTCTGAACTGCTATGGCATATTTTGACAACGGGCAACACATCTCCAATTGGAATGTGCCAACCAAGATTATTGTTTAAAAAGTGCTTTTGTGAATTTTAGGTCATTAATTTGCTGATTGTACACACATAACCCTGGATAACATTATTCTGCAGAAATAATTTCTTTATTTCCCAGTTTTTTTTTTTTTATTATTATTAATATTTTTTTTTGTCTTAGAAAAGGTGCACTGTATATCTTCAATGTGTAGTATGCAGAATTGTGTTGCAGTACAGTATTCAATAAGGAAGCTTGCCTCCTGTCTCTTGTAGAATGGTGTGTTTGTTTCCTCTTGGATCTTACTGGGCCAAAACCTAAGGCTTGCTTTGACGGCACAGGTGCAGTGATTGCAGGGGTCTACCGAGCTGCCCGTTTCCAAATGATGCCCTTCTACGCGCTGGTCTGGGGTTGCGGACAGACAGTGTTTGCAGTTATCATGTCCTACACGCGGGTCCTCGCAACACTGTGAAGTGCGGGAAGCAGCAAGTTCGACGTGACGCTCTTGGCAGAGCGGAACACCGGGCCCAGCTATGCAGCAGGAAGGACAGCTACTGGGGCAGTGCAGGTCATGTGACCAACACCTGTGCTTCCGTTGTTGTTGTTTTGTTCTAGACAAGCAGTTTTCAATATGTTGGTTGCCCACAGCAGAGAATCGTGAATTGTGCTGCACGCTAGCGGTGCACCAGAAGCACGGGCTGCAACTTAATCTAAGCTCTGTACAGACTGAAGCCTCGGGTGTCTGCAGGCAAAAGTCATAGCGCAATTCAGCTTCACCGAGACGAGTCACTGGTCTCGGTTTGCGCAGCGTTTTCTTTGGTTTATGATGAATCCATGTGGCTATTATATGGCAAATGGAGAAATTCAAGTTTCACATCAGGGAACCACATGATTTCGAATGAGGCAAAAAAGAGGACTAGATTTGTGATGCTAGGTATTATAGCCCCTGTGAGTTGATGTGTGCCCCGATTGTGGCGAACCAATGCCTGCGGTGGCCGGTGTGTGCATTGTAGGAAACTTTCCCAATTAAGTGTGTGATGTGGCTGATGGTGAGATGCTGGTTTTGAGATTGGGGGGCAGCGGTGACTGATAGTGATTGTTTCACTGTGAAATTGATAGCTGGGATGACAGTGATTGCTGAAAATCTTTTCTTTTTGTTCAATCTTCTTTTCACGAAATTTGACTCCTCTATTTTGGAGCACAGTTTCCGTGAAAGTGGCCATTGTTAGCAAGCTCAATTGTTAGCTCTGTTTTCTTGTTCTTGTAATTCTTTGTTCACATGGTTTTGGCATGTCGTTAAATTTTGTGCCCAACTGTTTGAGTTTCTTTGGGAATTAGCAATTGTCGGTAACCCTCATGCACCAACAAAAATTCAGTCCACTTGTTATCGAATTGAATTTTCTACGTAATTTATTTGCATCAACTGTTTGCTAAGTATATCGACGTGCCTGTTAGGCAATACCAAGCACATTCTCTTTGTTACAGCTCAAAGAGCATATCGGGGGTCAATTTTCTGGATGGATGCCGAAATTCGAGGTCAAAGGCATATCTACCTATTTCCTTAATTGGGAGCTTGATTGAGCACCTTTTGTTTCAAACCTACACATTTGGTTTTGCTGAGGCTATGTTTGTTTCCCTTTCTTGGCTTGCCTTAAAATCACAATGTTTTGCTTGGAATCATTCCAAGCATGATACATAATACTCAAACGAGTCAACATGATTGTGTACTGCCATCTTGCAAACTTTGTTACTTTGCAATATTTTGTTTAGCAATCCTTTTTTGCTGGAACAACATTTTCAGTCTGGCTTTATTGAGTGGACGAAAGCTTATGCAGAAACCTTAACCCAAAGGCTTTCTATAGTGGGGCAGTTTTCGTCGATTGCAGTTTGATTTCAGAACTGGGAAGTGTAAGAAAAGGACAGCTGTCAGAGCAGACGAGATGCGAGACCAAGATGGTCACAAGGGCTTGTATTAAAGTGTACAGTATGTCTCCTTTTGGGACAGAATGTCTTTGTACATAGTGTACATAGGGCTGTTTATAGGAAGACTCATGTCGGGAGAGTTTAGGAAAGAAAACTTATTGTGCGAGTGTTGTGAATAGTGTATATAGTGGTGCATAAAGGCAACATGCCGGTGTGCAAGGTGGGTAAATGGGCCGACAAAATGGCGTTGTGCTTTATTTTTGTCGAATAAAATGCTAAATAAGGTTCATGTGTGGTTTTAGAGTGTAAATTGTTTTTGTTTTTTCCAAGGAACAGTGATGAGCTTTCGTGACTGGGCTGTTTCCCTTGTCATCTCCACTCAATGAAGGAAAGGCCCTTTGCTTGGGCACAAGCAAGCTAAGGGGGTTGCATTGAGGCTACGCACTTACCGTTGTGCAGCCGACCAAGCAATGAAAGTCTGGCCATGTGTCGTATTTACAAGTGTAAAAAGGCCGACAACTTTTTGGTATTTATATAATAATTGGATGGTCTTCGCAGCAAGCGGCTTTAAAGACTCTTCTCAAATGTGTGTGCTATCAGTAGCAGCTGTGCCGATTATTCGAGGCCACCATATTTTGGGCATGTGCTCTAAGCGTGTATCACGCACGAGTGTGCATCAGCCTTTCGGGTGGATTCTGGTCCAATGACACTCTTCACGCTGAAAGCTATGTCTACTATATGGCGACCGCTAATGTTGCTTAAGGGGGTTTTGTCAAAAAGTATTGTTTGCTGCAATGATTATCCGACTCTGCTATTGCAGGTGGCTTGAACGACGGCAAATAAGGGCACATTTTTGCATTGTACGAGCGATGTGGAAGTCTTCAAAAACATTTTTTTATCGAATAAAGCGGGAGACCCTGAGTACCAGCATAAAGGCAAAAGTGGAAATGTGTTTAGTCTACCCCATCATTCTCAACCATGCAGTGGTATTATACTAATATACCTTTGACCCCTTTTCCTTTAATCATATGAGAAGACATGGATGGAATCCTCGCATATACACAGACTTGACTCACCGACATTGCGGCACTGCGGTAGCACTGCTGTTGGCACTGCGCATGCACACACGCTTCACGAGAATCTGGTTTTTGTGCGCGTGCAGTGCCCACACCTGGTGTGGGCAAATGCTGACTTGTTTGTAAGCAGTGTGTTGGTCAACATACGGACCTTCATTTAGCAAATGGGGTACTCTTCTTTGGCAAGGCACTGAACGACTAGCACTTGATAAGGTTGTCAGTTGGTGACAGTCTCAGTTTCCAGTCTTTGCAGTTCATTCATGAGGTATACTGCTAGCAAATGCCAGCTGGATTGAGTTGTTATTGCATTACTCCATCTCATCTGATTAGTAGGATGGCAGTGGGGGAGAACTTTGGTGTGGCTTGTTCAAGATTTTGATAGCTATCTCGTCTGAGTCAGCAGCTTCTTGGAGAGGTCAAGCACAACCTTTGGTGAGAGTGGGTTCTTGGTTCTTTGGGTGCCCTTCTGTATTGTTGCGTATGTGTGCATGTGCATTTGTTTTGTGTTCTGAGAGGTGAAAGTTGCTTCCAAAGAATTCTCTGGAAAGGGTCCAGTGACTCAACATAGAAAACTTTTTCGTTCGAAATTCTGGATCATCATATTCGCCAATGTAGTAGCTATGTAAGTGAGCTGGCTTGTGGGTAACACTCAATTTTAGAGCGCAGCTCTTAGACGCCGTTTCCGGCTTGAGCGGTGCATTATGGGAAACGTCCCACATTGCACCGCGGTGACGTTTCGGTGGTAGTCATGTGCCGAAATGTCACAATACTTCACCGAAACGTCACCCGACGTTTCGGCACCGCTCTGAAACGTCACGTGACGACGCGCGTTTCGCGTGTGAAAGAAGCAGGAGGGGAGGAGGAGAGAGTATGGATGAGGAGGAGGAGTATAACCTCCCCTCAGTACCCTCCTCCTCCTCCTCCTCAAGAGCTGCACTCCAAATCGACATTACAGGAAGTTGTTAACGTCTTTTTTCTTTTTTTACCTTAACATTTGTTTGGCATGTGTAGTTACAAAAAAATATAGTTTCATTTCCAAAGAAGAGGAATACCAAAGTTTGTTATGCCAATAAATTTTATAGTTCACATATACTTTACCGAGGACCAGGAAGATGTAGTCGATATGTGATTGTAGTAACATTTATTTGGTGCATGCAGTTGTTAACAAACCAAAGAAGAAAAAAAATATGACGAACCTAAGAAATAAAGGCCCCAAACAATTTAGTATTGCTAAAGTCTTCCTAAGGCTAATCAGTTATGCCATTATTGGTACCCCAACATTTCTTGTGTTTTCAATTAACACAACTTCCCTACCTTTTTACGGAAGACAGCATGGTGCAGGGATTCAGAATTGATTATCTTTGCAACATTGAATTTCCTCGGTTGTTTACAATCGCTATGCAGACTTATTATATGGTAAAGTCCTCAAAGTTGGACAGCTCTTTTTATCTCTTTGTATTTTGTAGTTGATTGGGAGGACTGCTAAAACTTTTATTAGCTCTGCAAGTTGTAACATTTTTCAACAATGTAATTGGGTGCTTCCCATTTTTTATTTTTATTCTGAAACTACATTAAAAAAAGTATTCTGAATTGCTGAGGCATTTATTTTGACAAAATGAAAAGACTGGGAATGATACCTTTGTTTCCATTACCACTGCTTTTGTCAAAATAGGCATCACATTAGACCCTAGCACAATTTTTTAATGGAAAATAACTTTTCTGTAGAAAATATAAATTATGTTTATATCTAATCGTCGAGGGTGATCTAGCATGCTGAACTTCGATCAGGAACATTCTTCGATAATACATTAAGTAGTTAAATTTTTGTGAAACAGATTCAACTGGTGAAGTACGTACACTATACGGCCCAATAAATCGGCCCTGGATTTCCCATACACATAGGCGTAGACTACGGGGGTGCATCGGGGCTCGTGCCCCCCCTGGTGTGATCCAAAAGGGGCAGAGCCCCCCCCCCCCCCCCCCCCCCCCCCCCGGGAAAATGGAAAGTCCACGCCGCTGCCCATACATATTTAGAAATAATCGACTTATAGCCTTGTAGACAAGTAGCACCACAAAACAATTAAGAACAAAATCACACCAATGAGAGAGTGGCACCCAGTGCTAAAGTCTCCCACCGGTGGCGGAGGGTATCTGTTGTGTGGTCACGTAGGTGGACGTATCTTTAATAAAAGGTCCACGAGGAGTGCAATATATCATTCCGAGAGTGAAACTTGGTAGGCAGCCAAATTGAACTGGCATGCACTGACTAAGTGCATTTCCTTCTCTCAGAATGGCACAGAACTGCCCAAATAAAGCCCTTGACATGTTTGTCTTACAACAAGTACCGTCAAATATGCCAAGGCACGAAGCACATGCCTGTGCGGCCTTCGGGAGCAAATGGCGGCACAGCACTGAAATAGGCGTCCCTAGGAAGCGAATAGCAGCGGACCACTCGCTTGTGGCGGGTGTAGAAGAAAAAAATGTCCCCGGGAAAAAAGGCCTCCAGCGGGAAATAGGAAAAAATGTCCCGAAATTAATGATTCTCTATCTCTGGGTTTCTCTGATCCTCGTGGCCTTCGGGCGGTCCGGTCATATGTCCATGGGAAAAAAGGCACCCTGTGGCAAGTAGGAAAATCGGCCCCAACAAATAAGGAAATATACGATTCCCCGAGGTACACACCGCGACACTGTTAGCGCGAACACGACATCAGCGCATTTTCACATTTTACTTAGAATAATTTTACCGTCTGCATTATATCCCCAACTGAGCACTTTCAGTACCTATGATAACTTTTATGACAGTTAGCCTTTCGTTTTATGAGAAATAGAGAGGAAGAAAAAAAAAAAAAAGAAACTAGTGATCGCTTGGTTGTGCTAACAGTGTCGCGCTTTTTATCCATTTGGAAAATGGTACACAAGTGTACCTACCTCTCAAATTTCCCCAAACACAATAATTTGGTTTTGGCTCGAAGTGTTATAAATGTTTATTTAAAAAAAAATTGGTTTTGGCAAATTTAATAATTTGGTTTCCAAAATATCCCACAATCGATTACTTCGGTTTCTTTGTGTGACTTCCAGTCTCCCTCTCTACCTCTAGGTGGGTCAGGTCATTTGTGACCGGACAATGACAGGACCGCCCCAAGGCCATGAGAATCAGTGAAAACCCAGCGACAGAGAACCCTTCGGGGACATTTTTTCTATACTTTCCACGTGGGGCTTTTTTTCCGGGGATATATTTTCCGGGGACATTTTTTCCCGGGAACGTTTTCGGGGACGTTTTTTCCAAAACCCGCTTGTGGCACGTGCCTTGCGCGTTTGCAGAACGATGGTTGGCAATGCTGGTAAGAAATGCGAAGCGTGAATTTTATCAAGGGACTTCATACCTGAAGCGTGGGCGGTGCCCAATTAGCTGCACACTTCAATTTTTCAAACAATAAAATAGTTTTAATTGATAGAAACAATTTTTGTTAACATGCTTTTTGAATTTTTTTTTAACTAAATGGCAGGCGAGCTGGTGGAAGTTCACCATGAAGCTTTTTAATTCGAGATTGAAGCAAAGGAACTTTTTTTTTTTTTTTGCAGTGGAATAGAAATTAGCAAGGGCAGACAACGTCTCTATAAACTAGATGGAACCAAGACCACACATAAGATGATGACCAGGGTGGAGGATAAAAATGAAGATGATTTAAATCGTGTTGGTTTTACGATATGATTTAAATTAAACCTTTCCCGCACAAATAATCCCATAAATAAACAAATAATATATATATATATATGAAGCATTCAATGTTAGACAAACGGTATTAATATATATATATATATATATATATTAATACCGTTTGTCTAACACTGAATGCTTTCTATGTGCCTTCTATGGCAAATGGGAGCATTGATCGAACTTTCTTTCTATCTTCCACTTCATTTGTCAGGTTACATAATGTCCCATCACAAGGAAATCAGAAAGTGGAAGGAAAGCTTTTTCACAACAAAAATATCAAGCTCTTTTGTTCTACAGCCCATTGCAACTCAAGAAGGTAGGGCGAGGGGGAGGAGGATGCAGAGGGAACGCTGGAGAGGAGAGGGGGAAACTCCTCTCTCCAGCGTTCTGTCTGCTTCGTCCTCCCCGCCTCCCCCGACCTTCCCTTCCCTCGCCCTACCTTGGGCTGCAACGGGCTGTAGTAAATCAATAAAAAGATTTAAATTTAGAGTAC